TCGTGCATGCCGTAGTCGTTAGACCATTGGCCTCGCATCCCTACAAAGCCGGGACGAAGCACGCCAGGTTCTCACCTGACCAGGCTCTCACATCACCAAGCGCGAAGCGCCGTGAAGTATTGGGCGAGTCGCATGAAGGGTGCGCTGCATCCTGCTAAGGGTGTTCGGCATCTTGTGCTTACTTCCTGGCGTACGGATGACAGCTGCGTATGACTTAGTTTATTTTCTAGTGCTTTCACTCCCAGAGACAGTTGGAAGCACTGCTGTGTAACTGCCTTGAGTGTGCTTGACCATTCCCTTCTTTCTTCGCCGCCTTCCGCAAACTCCTCCTTCGCCTCCCTTTCCCTGCCTTACACAAACTCTTCCTTTTTTCCTTTTCCCCCGTCTTCCTCAACCTCCTCCTTCCCTTCCTTTTCCCCCAACTTGTGCAAGCTCCTCCCCCCCGCCTTTCACACAAACTCCTCCCTGCTGCCCCACCTTACACACAAAACTCCTCCTTTTGCCCCGCCCTTCACACAATCTACTCCTTTTGCCCCACCTTACACATAACTCCTCCTTTTGCCCCGCCCTTCACACAAACTCCTCCTTTTGCCCCGCCATACAAGAACATGCTTCTTTTTGCCCGGTGTTACACACAAAACTACTCCTTTTTGCCACGCCTTGAAGACAAACTCCTCCTTTTGCCCCGTCATACACGCAAACTCCTCCTTGTGCCCACACCTTACTTGCGCAAACTGTTGCCTCCCTTCATTGTTCGCCGCTTCACATTGAACTCCTCCTTCTGCCCCACCTGTTTCGATACTCCGTTTTGCCCCTCCGCCTTCCCTTCCTTTTGCCCCGCCTTGCACACAAAACCCCTCCCTTTCCCCCCCGCCTCATCGTCGCAAAGATCGCCGGCGTCGGCGTCGGCGCGATCATGCTCCCCAAGTCCCCGGACAAGTACCTGCGCTTCGGCGGCCCCAGCCGCGGCGTCTCCTTCTTCCAGACCGCCGGAGGCGGCACCGCTTCCTCTTCCAAGGCCACGCCGGACCGGCTGCTGTCCTCGCACGAGTCGCTGCACCTCACGGCGGTCACGGCCTCGGCTTGCTCGGTGGACGGGAGCCTGCTGCTGACGGGGGCGCTGGACGGGACGTGCCGGCTGTGGAGCGTGGTCACGCTGCATGGCCGGTCTTCGGGGCTGGGACAGGTGTTGGACTGCTGCTGCTTACGACGTTGCTGTTGATATTGCTGATGTTGCAGGTCTTCGGGGCTGAGACGGGTATCTTGACTGCTTTTTATTTACGGAAGCGTTGTTGTCGCTGTTGGCAGATCGTCGGGGCTGGGACAGGTATTTGATTACGACACTCTTGTTGCTGATGTTGCGGGTCGTCGGGACTGGGACAGGTACTTGGCTGCTGCTTCTGTTGCAGACTTTGTGGGGCGTGCCGGGAAGGCGGTCTCCATCCTCTCTGTGGCACCAACCAACCCTCGTCCTTTTTCCCGTACCATGTAACAAACGACAGGTGTCGAGGATGCTGGATCTGGCGGCCTCTCTGGGTCGGCACGCGGGCCCTGTCACATGCGCCACCGTGGGCATGGGCAGCGGGAGCGCGGTAACGGGAGGCGCCGATGGGAAGGTGCTGGTCTGGGACATCAGGAGAAAGGTGGGCAATATTCCGAATGAACCGATCGTGAATGCTTGCGTGAAGTTCATTTAGTATGAGTCTTTTTAAGGTTAGGAATAGGGTAAGGCGTTATCACCGTCATCGCCGGTTTTAACCAAAATGAAGGGGGTGATGGAGGTCGATGGGAATCGAAACGGTGACGACAACGTTAAGCCACAGGATGCGGTGACGAAATGGCAAGTCCGTATCGATGACGAAGATGGCAGCTTCATCGTCTGCGATGACAGCTGAAAATACTCGTGTGGGTACCGCATACCACACAAGATAACACACTCCCTAGGCCGATTTTCAAGGCTCGATTTGTCAGCAACAGAAAGAATCGCAGCGCCGACAAGTGCGGCGTTGAAGCTGCCTTCTCTAGAGCTCTCCGAAAACGTATCCTTTCTTTTGTTGATCCTATTCGTCGTGGAGTATGGAGCTTCGGAAATCAGTCTAGGTGGTGTGTTATCTTGTGTCATGTCGTATTCGGTATTACAGTAGTGTGTCCTGGTTCTAGACATTGTTATCTGGCCGGTGTAATACCTGGTACATGACTGACTCTGTCCCGGATGCTGTGGTAGGGTAGGGCGACGTGCTGTCGAGCACCCGTCACTCCCCCCTCCGCACTTGAGATCATGTCAATGGTCGTGTACTCACAGGTGATGCACCATCTTGGTAATCTTCCCCTCTCTCGGCCGATCCGTACGCGCACGTACCTAACTAAACCCATTGTTTTTGGCGGCCTCGATTGCGCGTCTGCTCAGAACTTCGTGCGCGAGCTCCCGGGGCACCGGAGCGGGATATCCTCGGTGGACATCAACAAGACGAACGGCAACATCGTGACGCTTTCGGGGTCGGAGCTGAGAGTGTGGAACGTCAACGGGCGCCTCCTGGCGTCGTGCTCCGTGACGGCGCTGAGGCGGGGGGCCCCGCCGACGTGTGCCGTGTCGACGAGTTGCCCGGACTGGCAGGTAAAAAAGAAAAAAAGTTGTCGGCAGGTGTAACACGCACAAAAAAAAATAACGATGCTGTCAACAGGTGCAACACACCCACAAAAAACAGAAAGAAATTTTTTCAGCAGGTGCAACACATACACAAACAAAAAAAAAGTGTTGTCAGCATGTGTAACTAAGCCGACTGTAGTAAAAAAGTCTAGCAGCTGCCAGGTGCCAATGTTGTCAGTATGCGTGACGAGCCTGCTGCAGTCGAAGGCTAGAAGTGCCTTAGGTCTTGGGCGCGTGCAGCGTGCATGCATTGCCGGGCCGCTCGTCAAAAAGAAACATGTTCGCAAGAAATCGGAGAATTATGCAAAAGTGCCGTAGTCGAATACACCCCGACACATATTTTGATACCCACCGAAGTAATCCGACTGAGGTTTGAAATTGGTATGCATGCATTCAACTCCCGGAGTGTTTGGGGCGTTTTTCGGAGTGACGTCTTGTGTGCTGCCAGTACCGAATACGCAGAGCTACGATGAAAATTGAACCCCGCCGTAGCCTCAGGCCCCGTTGCTTTCTTCCTTCAAGTTACTTCAACGAGACGTTAACCCCTCCACCTATGGTCTGAGTCGCCATTGCGAGGTTGTTTTTATATATGCTCATTGTCGTTTGGTTCATATAAATGTGTACCTTTTTTGGGTAGCTGGCCTGTAACCACGAAAGTCATCCGCGTCAGTTGGACGGGTACGGACTTTAAGAGGTACTGAGCAGAGAACGGCACGGCTTTCTGATGTGAGGAAAACAACAACCACAAACATTGCAAGGTGGATGACGACAAACGCCCCCCCTGTCCCCTTCCGGGCACTTGCTTTTTGTCTCTCTCTCTCT